TTTAAGTATGATATTTGTTCTATGTTTAAAGTATTCTTTATTTATGTTTAGGTATTTAAATAAAATCAATGGCTATCTAGGTAATTTAATTATTTGGGGCAAAGTGGTCTATACCTGTCCGGGGCAATGTGGGAACAACCCAAATATTCATGAAATAAAAGAAGAACTTCAGTTGATGGGTAGAATCAGTGTCTATTATAGTATTATGTAAAAAATGGTTCATTATTGTCTTAGTGCTGAGTTTGAAGAAAAATATTAGAAAATCCATGTTAAATGTGAATTTTGTTCCTAAAATTTTTTTTTATGTTTTATAACATTCAAAAAGTTACAATTTATAATTTTATTTCTTTTAAGTTAAGCTATACATCTAAGTATATTAACATTTAAATTCTGAGTGAAGCGATGAGTGTATTGATTTTACAATGATGTGTGTTTTTTAAATTTTTTTTTGTGTCTGTGTACACGATAAGTAATCGAAATAATGTTTCGATATTCAACTTTAGTATCTTTTTCGATTGGAAAGTGAATATTGTTGGTGCATTGCGGAGGTCAAAATTTAAAATTCTCATTATTTTTTTAAAAGCGCCAAGAAAAACAAAAGAAAAATTAAGGAAAAACGGGAATTTTTACTCAAAATCGACTTTGGTTTTTGGTGTAACTTTAAAACAAATGACCGTAGATATATAAAATGTTCACTGGTTGTTTATATTTGCATTTTCTATACACGATACAATTTTCAAAATTTTAAAAATATTTTGATTTATTTTGAACTGTTTAGGGACATTTTCAGTTTCCAATTTTATTAATTTTTTTTTCTATGAATATCAATAAAACTTTATTTGTTGGTTAAAAAAGCTTAAAAATTTAATACAAGTCTTCAGACATTAACGTGTCCTTTGTTATTATGTGGAAAATAATTACATATTATGTTGTATTAGTATATTATATGAATATAATAAATATAACTTGAACGTACCTACGTAATATATGAAGGACTATAATATATTTCAGCTGTAAACATTGTACGTATCCCATTATCAGTATTATTACGAACGTGTAAGTATTTATTTTATTTAAAAGGATTGAACACGCGTTTGCATAATATATACTTACTGAGCATACCTTTTTATAACACGATTACATACGGATAATAATGTATTTGAATTGTGCAACGTTGTAGTATTTATTTTTACATAAGGTAATATTATAACTTACAAGTCAATATGAAATGTACGTTAGTTGCTATATCCACATAAATTACCATTGGATATGATATTCTAATTTTAATTGACATTTATGCAAACATATAATATTATTACGTAGTTAGTAGTTATACACTTATAACAAAGATACCAAAACTGTTTTGAATTGCTTGGCTTTTCTAAACTATTAAAATGGTCAATGTTAATAAAGATTAGTCATGGAATAGAGTAATAATAGTAACTTAAGTCATAAAGCGTAGCAAGGACATAGTTTCGAAAAAAGTACGCAAGAACTCAACAAATGTAAGGTCTTACATTATTGTATAATGCAGTTTACTAACTTTTGTATTCGAAGCCATGCACTATGCACTATGCACATGTTATAAATAATAAATGATTTAAAACTATTAATTATTATTATACAAATGAGATACGATCCGGTCATAAAAAGATCATTCTATCAAAGTCTACGCTTTCTGTACTTCTATTCATTGTAGGTACTTATTATTTATTAATATACAAATATAACTGTGTAGACGATTTCTACAAGGTTCATTGCTGGTATTTTCTAGTCTTGAGCGGTTTTATGCATTTACAGACCAACTAAAAAATGTATTCTATGTTTATTCATAAAATATGATATAATATGCATTATGTAAATATGAAATCATGTTTTATATACTTTCAAAGAAAATAGAAATACACGATATATTCAACACAGCTAAAAATAAGACGGTAAAAATAAAACACCAGCAATAATATTATATTATTCCATAGTGGTTGGCTAATAAAAACCAAAACGAAATGCTTTTGATTTTCGCGATAAAAATATTGTTACAATTATTATTTAAAGATAAAGGCCAACAACTAAATAACCACGGAAGGAAATCGAGCGAGTACACGCATACCACACATACTTACTCTATATACGTGTATTATTATACATTTCGTACATCTATACACAAACACACACCTTAGCAAATGAGCAATACTCGTTCGAATTATTATAAATTTATAAAGCGTTAACTGCGTTTGAACAAAAACAAAATGTTTAAAGTTTACGTAGGTACACCAATATCATGCAAGCGTTTGGACAAGATTAAATGTTGTGAGTATAATATATTCTTAATTCCAAATGTCTGATAAGCAACTCGTAACGAAAAATTTAATAACGCTTATAAAAATCCTGACACATAAGAGTCGTCTTCACCATTATATAAGTACCATTTATTGCTTGCAAATAAATTAATTTTCGACACACCACATCTGAATTGTATAGAATATTATTCATATTTTTTCTTTTTTTATTATTTAGATATTATTATTATTTAATATCAAACGTTCCGTATAAGTCATATAGCCTGCACCAATATTATGATATTATATTATATGCGTATCAGACATGGATGCTCTAAACATGAAACTCTGGTGTGCGACGCACGTGCGAAAATAATACGATTATGATTATAATATTATAAGGGTAATATTATTTTAATGGAGTGGGGAATTGGAACAAGGGGTTATGGTTTAACGTCGAAGAAGATCGACAAATATCTGAACTGCCGACACGCGACGTGCACATACGTATAATAATTAGTAGAGTAACTTCAACGTTTTGGCCGGAAGTGACTTTTCAAAAGGCTCCCCTGGGATCGTGTTAAGTGGTTGAAACAGAGGGATGCGAACAATTTTGCTTATGCAGTTAGTTAAGTAATAAATAAAGGGTGCATATTTTTCTGCCAACGTTTTCTAAAATACCAAAATATAAAATTTCAAACTCATAATAATTAGAGGTAGGCAGTTGGTTAATTATAGGCAAAATGGGGTATGCCATAAAAAATATTAAAATTTATATTCAGTATAAAAATAATAATAATGGGGTTACTACGTATATTTTACTATGGTATTTTAGGGGCTATTGCAGGCTCGCTGATCCCCCTTATAATTACAGCACTGGTAATGATACATTGCGCAGGAAAAACATTTCTAATTGGAAAAATAGAAAAAGCTCGAGATGTCTCGGCAAAAAGATTAAATGAAAACGAAAATTCCTACGACGGAGACTGTGCGCCCGTACTCAGGTGGTGGCTGCCGTCCGTCATGAGTCGTTGGCGCGGATAGAAAAAAAAAGAAAGAATATAATACCTAAGGTGGAATACAGAAGAGTTGACATATTATATGGAACATTAGGTCCCTTCTCCTTCATGCTATACACAATATATTAGCTTTCTGCGGTTGAACTTGGAATACTGTGCGTATAAATTTATATTAATCGAAACTTAAAAATCTAGATTTAAAAGTAGGTAGGTAGGTAATTATGATATATTAGTTATATGGATCCTATATAAAATGGATAATTATAATAAGTCCTAGACTTAAAGTCGTATAGACTTGGGTTCATCCAAAAATGATAATTCAGATTAGTGAACAGGTCAATACTTTTTTAGGATCTTGAATTTATTTAAAATATTATTATATTACGGATTTCAAAATTGTAAATTTAATTTTACATTTTTAAGTAGTTATTTTAATTTTTAAAGTATTGTTATATATCTTATAAATCTTTGTTTATTTTGTGTTTAGGTACTGCATAATTAATACGTAATACGATTCATAAATATTATTTTCCTATTGATTTCAGGATGGGCTCATTATTTGCTCAATTAGGACGTGTTCTTAATTATTTAATTCTTAAATTTGAAACTTAAACATATTCATTTTTAGTTACTAGTTTTCGTATATTATAGAATATAAAATTAAGATTTAGAATATTTTTAGATTATTTTTCTATCCATTTTTGGTTTTTTCATGTCGTCGGTGATAAAATAATATTATATAGTTTATTCTGTATATTATTCAGATATAATCTAATTTTATAATTACACAAATACGTATTATATGCTGCACTCGTCACTGCAGCGGCTTGTATACAAGTCTATCTATATAGTTAGATCGTCGTGAGACCTGCGGACTTGTATAGTTTGCGTATAATAATATTATATCGTGGGGCGGGTTTGTCGATGGTGAGAGGGGGGAGGGTGGACGAATTCGAAAATGAACATTCAAAATATCTGTCGGCCGGTGACGTTATCGCGCGTCGGCCGCGGCGTCTATGGTGCGTCCATCGTGCGCCTATATAGGTACGCACCTTACATTAATCATTGTATCACATATTATAATCATTGTCGTCGTCGTCGCTTTGAAATCAAAGAGGAGATACGGCCGGCGAGCGTGTACGTACACATCTGGTAGGCGTTTTCACTTTAGGCAGTATTGATTGTACGCAGTGTGCGAGAGCGTTCGTGCCAACGTCGGGAAAACGGGTCAGGGCGCGGGCTTGTCCGCGGAGCGCTCGGGTCCTGCGGGCCGCCGACGCGCGATCCCGCGGCGGCCGATCGCGGACGACGGCGACGGCGACGACGAGGCCGACTGACGACGACGACGAGTGACGACTCCGGCGAGAGTAGGTACGCGGCACCCTCGCGCGGCGTGACGATATTCGTGAGTCCGAGGTTTAGCGGCCGCCGTCGTCATCGCCAACGCACGTGCGTCGTCCACCCGTCGTCAATCGCGACTATCGCGGAGATAGATATTATATTATTATATACCGAAACCTCGTCCGACCGTCCTCGTCACCACCCTCCCCCCACCGCGAACGGACGATGCGCGTCCAAGGGTAGATTAAATTTTTTTTTTCAAAATTTCGTTCGCCGCGGTTTGTCGCCACCGGCACGCGCTTTTCTCTAGGCACCCCGACGACCGATACCGCTGCAGTAAAAGTACCGTCGAGACGACGTCATGACTATGATGACGGCTACTGCAGCATCGCCGCGGCCTCGACGGACCGTTGTAGTCGGAGTGCCTCGTCCCACGGCCGCAGTGGCGGTGCTGGCCGCGGTCGTGGTGGCCGCGGCCGGTGGCGGTGGAGTGTACGCGAAGCTCACGTCCACCAGACCGGCCGCCTGTACACTTTCCGAATTCGCTTGCTCTTCCTCGTCGTCCACCGCCGACGAAGACGACGACGACGCCAACACAGCCGCCGCTGCCGTACGCTGCGTGCAGTCCATCAAGTACTGCGACGGCCGGCGCGACTGTCCGGACGGATCCGACGAACCGCACTACTGCACTCGTGAGTTTAACAAACAGCTTACAACAATTTATTTTTTTATTAAATGTCACTCGATCCCCCCTAACATCAGGTTGAGGGACTTAATATAAATTTAGAAAAAGTATACATCAGCCGTGTATACAAAATACAAATAACGGTAAATACCTATATTATTATAGAAAGAATAATAAAAAAAGACAATTTATTATTTCATACATGACTGTGTAATCCGTTCAAGGGTTTTGAGGGGACGATGAAATCGATTATAGTGTTTTGATCGAGTCGGGGTATTAGATTTAAGATATTCGGTCCGGAACTTTGCAGCATTTTGTTTGCAAGTTTTCAAAAGTGCGGCAATCGGTTGTTGTTGTTGTTTGGTATTTATTCCATCGGGTGAACTCTGCACGAAAGTCACGAAAGTTCTTTTTTACATCCATTAATACACTCGGCAATATATTATATCGTTGCATATTTTAGTAACAAATATACTTTTTATACGCGCGTCTCTGCACCCTTATATATATCGATATTTATTCGTTATCGCACTGGGTAGGTTAGGGTAGGGACCTTAGGATATATATATATGTAAATATAGGTACCATTATTCTACGAACGTATACAACGCATGTAAACGGAAACACGCGTCATGCATTCGAATACGGATGTCGTGTAAAATCATTTTCCTAGGATTTTTCCCTTTAACCAGTATTGCTTGGGCGTTGAGGACCGATTTGGTTTTCCCGCCACTCAAAACAGCCAGTTCGATAATAATATTATATAGTACGGGGTCGCTCAGATACCGCCCCTCGAAATATCTGCACTCGACCTGCCGCTCCAGGAGAGCTTTCGAGGTGTAACATTTTCCTGCAGTCATCCCTCACAAGTCACAACACCATCCGAACCGGTTCATGACGTTTAATATTTTGTCGGCTAATTTCTTTTTCCTGTTAGTCTCTGTCACTCTACTCTGTGGAGTTACTGCTGCAGAAAGTATCTGAATGCACGACACGACGTTATTGGGTGCAACCCCCTCCCCCTTAATGCTATATTATATTAATTATTTCCAAGTGTCTTAATTTGTGGCTTGCAAGAGTGGGTGTGCATTTCTTATTCAGCTATACCTAGGTATTATTTTTTTCCAACACCCGAGTTTCGTAAAATTATTTTTATGGTTAGTACCTAATTTATGGGCAAGAAAAGTGTTGGTCGGTTTCGATCAACATCCGGCCATTGGTCAACTATTGTTACGGTTACATGTTTATATTAAATATTTGCAACCCATAAAACGATGTGAAATGAACCCAATGAATATGATGTCCGTGGCTGCCGTGAATCGTATATTATTATATAGCCGTCTCGTTTACCGGGAAAATGGTCGTTGTGATATTTATAACCAAATGAATAATATACGAGCCCCGCAGACCGCGGATGGTCGAAAACTTTCCGTCGACAATCGTCGATTTAATAAATACTGCACGTCACGTAGTAATGCAGTGTGTATTATTATTTATTAAAATATTTAATATTTATAAACACCGACTGCTCTCTCTCTGAATATCATACCGTGATTTCGTCGGAAATCTCCTCGCATTTAATACGATGTTATTATGTAACCGCATAACTCCCGTGTACAGTGTATCGTAAATGTTTCGAAAACTGTATTAAGCCGATTACCGTTTGCTCGCATTGATATTGGATATTATAATTTTTGTTCTCTACACCTTCACATAATTACTTCTCTATTGTTATTGAAACATTATAGTTATAATAGTACTTACGACTTATATAATTACGCGCATTTCCAATACGTATTATATTCACTCACACACATAATAATATATATATATAGGTATACTATGCGCTTTACGAATGGCTGGATAACAGCAATAAGTGCCTCCGTGTGGAACTCGACATACGTCAAATTAAATCATCGCACAATCACAGCGATATTATACTCCACAGGAGTACTCAGAAGTACGCTCCGTGCTCGACGCTTAATTCAAAGCGATTATGTGGCTTTTAGCAATTTACTTTGGTCTTCATTATATAGATCCATCAATCTTTTTTGAAATACAACACGGTAAGACGTGTGTGTTATACATTTTTTCTTGGAAACCTCCCTACAAAACGTGTCAGCTGTCGGGAACAATATATAATGTAGCTATTGACTATTCTGAAATCCAATGTCAAACACTCGCATTGTATTTTTGACGGGACCGTAACGCGTGAGGATGAAAAAATATAAAACATGTCGACCATTATTGTAATATATGTATAGTTGCAGTTTTCGACATTAGGGGGTGGTGTTCGTCAAAGGACGATTACGCTGTAGATACCTACGATAAGACTTGTAGGTTGGAATGGGTATAATACAATATTGTGGCTGTGTTTAAATCAATAATGTTGTGAAACAAACCCTATTTGATTAGGTAAGCGAAAAAAAACGCTTTTTGAATTTAAAATTACGTTTTCGATTTGTTTGTTTTTTTTTCTCTGTGACGCGTTTGACACTAAATAAATACCTGTACAGTGTAAATTTTAAAAAGTATTTTACGATAATTTACTAAAGTACTGTGAAGTTAATAATTTCCATCCATTTCCACAATATACATTATAATAACGATGATAAATCAATCATTCACATAATAGGTTCGACAAAACGCTTCGTTACTTTGATATTATTACCTAGGTAGATAATATAATATTATGTACCTACTACATATACCATTTTTGGTCGGTCGTCGCTGCATTGTGAGCGCACATAGTTTTACATATTATTATTATTATTGTACCGCTGATTTCACTCGTGTAATGAGTCATGTATAGTTTACACGGGAAGCGACGGTTCAGGGAGTTTGCGGTGAAAATGTATAGATTTTCAGTGACCACTCGAAATGTTTTAGCGTTTATTGAACATTATACACTGTGGGGCCTTTACACAAACTTGCCGGCACGTGTAAAAAATTATTTAACGTCGTTATGGGACTCATTTTATGTTATCAACCATATTATATTATATGCTATCCGGCGATTGAAAATAATATATCTGTTGTATAAAAATCGATAAATCTCATTGTACCCTTTATTAGAATATTAAACTGAACCATGGTTTATTTAATATTCAAAACGATCTGCAGGTGAAATAAAAGTACGGGAAACAAACGCGAACGGCGTACAAATTGTTTGAAACTATCGAAAAATCGACAGAGTAAATAGCCAAAGCGTCAAATACAGTGTATGCCTCGGAGAGCAATAATTTTCTCCAAGTTTTATTTTCTAGGGAAATCTAAAAGCTGCAAGAACACGTACCTACATTATATATATGGACGCATATATAAAATAGATAGAATCCATGCAAACTTTACCGTTGGTTAGCCTTGGCACATCCAATAATATTTTCTTCTTCTTTCGAGTGTAAATCGTTTTGAATCATTCCGTGTAATAAAATATACAGATATAATGTATAATATTATTTATGCGACTCGTGCATGGTTATGTGCACCTATATACATCTGAGTTTTTCTCAGTATACAGTGAATTTTATATGTGCTTATATTATATTATAAATGTTGACAAAAATATTTAGATAATCTGTGAACATTCTCTCGTTTTTGCTCCGAGTTTTTTTTTGTTTTGAATAATATTTTTCACTATAAACTGACGGCAGATGACCGATAAAAATACATTGAACGTGTACGACATTTATAAAAACTATTTATTATAGTTTGCAACAAAGATACTAACATAAAACTGTGTAATTAGTTTTAAAATCAACTAATTATATTACGTTATAATTAGAATTCGGATTTGTATACATTTGCATATTCATTCTGGTTGATCATTACAAAATTAGCGAAAAAGTCGTTTCGTGACGTAGAAATTCTTTTTTAATGCATATTTTTGCATAATATTTCGAACTTTTGATGTTTGAATGACTTATTTTACGATTTTCTATTTTTAGTTTTAGTGCGAATTTAGGTGTTTTCTGGTAATGTCCGGAAAACTTAAATTATTCTCGAAAAAATAATTATTATTTGAGTATTTATTTAATACATATTGAAATATATTGTATAATATATTAATATATTTCATATAGATATAATATTATAATATACTTCTCAGATATGACCACAGGAATATAAATTTACACTTTAGTCATCACCAAATCACCTTGGTTTTAGTTTTTGACCATTTCGTTTAAAACTCAATTGTATTAAAATCAGATATATGTTCCTCCCTTCATTCAGAATATTTTCTAATAAATAATTCGTTTATCGGTGGAAATTAATGGAATTATCTTGTATTTTATAGAATATTACTAACACCAACGCTTCGTCAGTGAAATTATTATATTATATATTTGTAGAAAAACTGATTAACTATACCAAATTATTTATCTCGATAAAGTAGTGATTTAGCTTAATGTGGAAATTTCGAATTCACCCTAAACCTACAATTCAATGAACTATCAGGTATAGTTAAAATAATTTTAAAATCTTTGCCAGTGAATAAAAACGGTTATGTGTATATATACGTTTACTGCTTATCGGTATTGAGAACGTTCAATGACTTCAATGCCGTTTTTTACTCTTATAATGCACTTGAAATCGATTATCATTTTTATGGTTTTCCGTGGTTGATGTGTATCAAAACGCTTAAGACGCTTAAGCTGTATTTTTAATGGCTTATACCTAACCTTTTTTCCTTAGAACAGCATTTATAATATGAGCTTTCTGTAAAGTTCTGTATATTTATTTTCTTCAATATTCAATAGATATATTATAATGTAAAGGCGTAAATATATTTTAATATACCTAAGTTAAGTTAACTATGTTAAGTTTAGTCGTAAAAATTGTTATTAATTTTATTTTTCAAAAATTATATTTTACACACGATATATATAGTTGAAAGGTATTGTTTGCATGCGATATTAATCATATTAACGTAGGTATAAAAATAGGTACTTAACAGTTTACGATTTTACACAAATTTAGTGTATTTAAGAAGATATTAGTAATTAATAATTATGAGGCACTTTGTAAAAACAATTATAAGTAATAATTAACTTAATATTTTACAACCCTTATAGAATTTCCACTATAAAAAAAATATATGTTGGGGGTGGTGTGGCCGAGCGGACTAAGGCGTCGGTTGCGACGCACACCGACGCCGGTTCGACACCTCAGCCATGGGTGGCATTTTTCTTCGGGCAAATAACGGTGTCCGGAGAACAAGTACAGCCATCCCCCACCCGGGCATGGCAGATAAATACGGGTGCCCAAATCAAAAAATTCTTCCAAAACAAAACACACTTGTTCCTCTCCCTAACAACAAAAAACCTACAAACAAAACAAAAAAAAATAGCTAATGGCCTTAATTGCCGGGCTCAAGCTCAATAAAAAATAAAAAAATATATATAATTAATAGTGAATAAATATTTGTGAGACGTGTCGTTTTGTTTAATCATAAAGAAAATAATTTTAGGTCAATCGTAAACTCTATACTACAATATTTTTATTTTGAATAAAAATTACATTTTAATTTACATAAATAAATAAATAAAATACTCTTGAAATTGTCTAGTAGGAACCTATAGTTTTACATAAAGTATGATTAATATTTCATATATACATTTAAAATGAAAAAAAACATTTTTATAACTAAATAACTAGGTAATAACTAATAACTCTAGATGTAGACACCATTATTGTAATATTCTTAAAAGCTAATAAGTTATAACTACATATAATGCAATTTAAGACGTTTACAATGTAAGTGTTCTGATAAAATGTTGTCTTAAATATTTATTCATCTTTGTCATTATTTAATATTTACTATGAATTTATGTTAAAGTCAAATGATAATTATGTTATTTATGTGAATAAATTATGAGAGTAATATTTAAAATAAACATATTGAGAATTGATCAAAATTAAAAAGCATTTTTCGTGTTTTGTTTACAACCATTTGTTATTATAAGTAAATGCCAAATCAAACTTGACTATACCTACTCAAAAAATGTATTTTCACGAAGAATAAACAAATGGATAAAATCAATAAATTCATCGTTCATTCGTTCATGATCGGAATTTAAAATGAATACCTTTACTGGAAAGTAAACATCAAGAGTTGTGTACTTATCTGTGAAACATTATTATTTTAAATGTAAATATACTCGAAAGTTCAATGCTTCTGTATAAACCTATGAATAGATGGATATTTATTTGAAATACATTGTATCGGTTTATTTCCTGGTCTTAATATATATACCTATATATTATACCTATGATAATATTGCTAGTGTAAATTCAAAGATTTATATAGGTATACTCTATACATAATATTAATATATTATTATAGACATATATTTACTGAATTTAAAAACAACTGCTAGTTATTTTACTGTTTTTTTCTTCTAAATTTTTCAAGTCGTTTACGAATCGAATTATTATTTTCAATTTTGTATACATTTATCATCGTGGATTCCGGAATACAATAATCGTATTGTTAAAATTACTCTAAAACTATACAAACTGTGATATTTTCGAAGTTTTTGATTTTTCAGCAACTAGTCACCTATTGGGTATAAAATAATAACTTATATTAAAGAAGATAAATTAAACATAATTAGTGTATGATTAACGTCGTAATATGAAAATAATATTGAACAATGATAGGATAAAATTGATGTCATGAATGCTAACAAATTGGTTAAAGTTTGACCGTAAAAACAGCGATTTGTAATAGGTACATAATAGTATAATTAAATTAACGTATTTTGATAAAGTACAAATCTTAAATGGAATAGCGCCGTCCGAAATAAGACGAGAATAAGCAAAAAAATAGAAAGGGAGAAACAAATAAATTAAGACAGGCATAATATTGTAATGTATGATTTACCTTCAACCCATATCAGATTAAAATCAAAGAAATACTTTATGAAAATGACATTAACAATATAAGGGAAAACCTTATTGTAAGCCGGATTAAAGCTTGGAAGGAGCGAAGAGGAAAGGATGCGCTCGCAGACTAGGGCGTATCCACAGAATCCTTACCACCGGAACATAACTTACCATGGAAAATGTGAAAACTGTCAACAGGACACAGGAGACAATCAAAGAAACTTAAATAGATGGGGCATGGCAGATAAAGCATATTGTGAATGTGAAGAGAAACAAGCATCAAACCACTTATTTGGGTGTACATTGATACCGGGTAGATATGAAATGATAGATTTCATCGGACTGACGGAAATCACTGACAAAATGATAAGAATCATTGAGTATTGGGAAAATAAAGGATTGTAGAACAACATCGACCGATACCAGAAGTAGACAAAGAGATAATATATAATATACAGTATTACGTATTATGAGATTTATAGTATCTTATCAGATGAAATCTGACGACATAATGGTTTGAATCAAAGGGTTAAATTATTAAATGTAATAATTATTTACGCTCAGAAAATGTTATTGAACTCTATATATGTATATTGTAAAATCAATAAATGACAAGAATGAAAAGCACCTGTTTGGAAACGGTTTAAAGACAAAACTTATTATGATAAGTTATAAATCTAACGTAGACTAAATAAATACACAGTTATATTCACTTGATATAATGCAGATTTAGGAACTGATTAGATTTATTAATGGCTAAAACATTTAATGTTCATAGTTCATAAAATAATTTAACCGACGGGTGCTCGATAGTATCCAACTTAACATTAATTACATAAGTACCTCCTGCAAAAGATAACATTTATGTCGGGTTTGTAGTAATATAATATAGGTAGGTAGGTTTATGTAGGTATAAAATATTTTCAACTCGAGTAATTTATTCCAATTATTTATTTACACATTTTGAAAAATTAACAACATTAAACCGATCAGTAATAATAAAATTGTGGTTTATAGTTTATACTATACAAATGGAAAAATCGCTATTATTTGTCGATTTAATACCGTTGAGCATAAATTTTACTATAGAGTGTATACTTAATGGTATAGCTATACCTAACTATAATCTGTAACACTATCGAAAGCATTTTGGAATGGCACCAAAGTTGTTCAGTATTGTTAGTTACTATCCTGTTGAATGTGATTTCTTCATACTTCTATAGTGTCAGGTTAAAAAAGGGAGGCAAATTGCCAATATTATTTTTTCCCCTTTTTTAATACATTACATATAATATAATGTATGCCAAATCCATTTCTTTTGACTTACATTTGCTTAAATGTACCTACATTTTTCACATTCCTATTTTTTCAGATATTATCTTGTTTGTTTAACGGTTATTTAAATAACGATGACTCGACATAAACCAACATTCCGTTTCCAGAATGAAAATTTATTTTTATTAGCTTACAGTTAAACATGGTTTATTTTGTATTCATTACGTTTTGTGTTCAGTTGAACGAGGTATTCATACTGTTCAGTATTCATAATAATTTTGCACCTAAATAACTCCTCCAGACAATAATATCCGGTACTGACAACACAATATAGGTATAGTTTTGTAACAATATTATAATATTATACAATATGCATTGTACGTACGTGCTTCACGACTACATAGTAAGTATACACGTCAGTATACCATCATGGCGATTACTTCTGCCTTTATTACAATCAACAGACGGTATCTAATGTTTATTGATTGAAAACTCGGAAGTTAAAATCGACAACACATATCTCGGGTTCACAGGTTCATAATAAACTTATAGATTATACACAGTCCATCGTAAGCAACTGTACAATGTAAATTTATCATATAGGTAGGTAGATGCGAAAGAAAAACGATTAAACGTCTAAACGATTTTTGACGGGTTTATGTTGTACGCACGTCGCAGAGTATATATATACGTATATATATTATAGCTATATATACGTCTTTATGCATATTAAATTCATAAAAAAAATAAAAAATAACTGAACAACATTATGAAAACGTGTTTATGGTCGTAGGTTAGGCTGTATATTATGATAAAATAAATAAATAGGTATCATGAAATGTATAATATGACCCGCATTGTGCGCACTATATTGCAGCTTAAGCTATCACCTAATATTTTTGACAGGATAACCCTAGACAAATACAGTCTATACTCCAGTAGCGGATCTAGAAGTCATCCTACGGGGGGGGGGGGGGGGCGAATTTTCAAAAATTAAATTGTCTTTTTGTTTTTAAATATTATAATAGAAAATAACGTCAAAAAGACAGCCCACGGGGGGGGGCGAACGCCCCTTCGCCCCCCACCCCCCTCGTATCCGCCACTGCTATACTCTATACGTAGGTATAGCAATGAAGAATGGTTAATGAACTATTGACACCGAGGGGAAAGATAAATTTTAAATTTTCAATAAAATCATCATTCTTTTTTTGTCGTAATAACTAATACCTATAATATGATGTACATTATATAGTCCATATAATAAATACAAATACTATACATGCGTATTGCTGTTGCTATTACACATAATGAAAACAGCTTGGTGTCTAGTAATTAAAGACTATAGGTACCGAATCAAGTGAGTGTTCATTCAATAATCAGTAACGCTACACAGTTACGGTCGATCATAATTTACATGTTAATCACTTCGGTGAGTAAATTACAGACGCACATTAACAATTCGAGTTCTCCAACGATTTCAAAATATAAATAAATTATGTTTATGCAGCTTCATATTGTAATACGAACAATGGCGTTGTAAATAAGCGCACGATAAATTGACTAACGACAGGTATACAACGTGGTATATACCCTTATATTAGATAATACTCTTTCTATACTGGTAACTGTTTTAACCTCGGATAAGATGTGAAAATTATATTAAATATGAGTTATATTATAACTGTGATATTATAAAAATGAGTTATTTTTAAATCGACACTAATCACTGTTTTGAAATTAAATTTTATATTTTAGTACGTCATTCTACAGCTATAGAAATTATAAGAAAGTCATTGGTGTATAGACTTGTTGAAAAGAATAATTATTTGGTTTTGTAATGAAAAATTATTTTCATTATATATATACATCATAAACACTATTTTGGTTATAGAAAGAATGCTCAAAAAGTTAGTCTAATATATAGCATTACCGTACATTTGGTAAAAACCGTTTTGAGAGCAAATATAGCGCATAAGAAAGCTCCACAAGAAAACTCTTGCATTAATTTAAACTTTTTAATAAACTTAGAAACTTAAGGTTTTTACTATTTTCGGATTTAGAATTCTTCTTAAAATCTTTAAATATCCCAAGTTAAAAGTTTAGTATACATTTTTGAAAAATACAATTATGGAAGTTCAAAATATAAGTATAAATGATTTGAACAATTAATTAAAAAAAATTACGCTATCTTTTAATGGTAGTTCCCAGATTTAGGTTTAAATATTTTATTCTGCAGTATCATAGGATTCCTGAAGGCTGAAACTTCTTATTTATTTATTCGACTATATAAATGCAATAAATTTCTTAAATGTTTACTAAAGTTTCGAAGAGACAATCACCATGCAATGTGTTAACTGTTAACCTTGCATAATCAATTATTAAAAAAAAAAAAATTATATTTATAATTAAATATGAATAGTGTGACAGAGAAAAAATAATAATTATTAAGTACAAATTCGTGTCGTATACCTACGACTATATTATTTTACGACCAACAATCGATACTATAAAGTAATGTATACACATACAAATTGTAAACACCTGCTCCATGGGACATTTACCATTTTTTTCACAACAATATCCTATATCGATGATGTAATGTCCTTGGAAAATATATCATATCATTAAATATTCAACATTTTTCTTTATTATTTATAAGTTTTACTCCCACAGACAAATGTAAGCACTCATCAAACAACTTTTTGTGTAAATATTCAATTGGGTTTTGTTTAAAATAAATCTTTTTTCCGGTTGTATTACCCCGGTATTTTCTAAAATTAATGTAGGTACAAGTTTATTCACCTAGTACAATCACTCCATTTTTTTTTCTTTGGATACATATACCTAATAATGAATTTATTCAAATTATGATATTTTTAATTTTTAATTAGATATGCACCTATACTTATTATTTAGGGACCATATTTTCAAATACTTACATTTGTATATCATTTGAGGAGTGCTCAATGATGTTGGTGATTTTATTATCTGTATTTTACTAAAAATTATTAAGAATATGAGCTTTTCAAAATGTTGACGAATTTAAGTCAAAAGTCGAATGAGTGGTTTCTGAGTTAATTGTTAAAATGTATATACCAAAGATGAAAATCCTTAAAAATTGTGTTGCTTAAATATAAAGAAAATTTTTTAATCTAGTACTGATGATACTCTCAGGACTATTTTTACAAATGCCAATGTATTAATTAGGTACCTACTATTATTTTCAAACGATCACAGTTCATCTAAGCCCATGTCTTCCAAATCAATTATCGTGGACCTGTTATATCTGGTACGCAAAGTTTAATAACTCTAAAACTAATCGTTCGAATTTCGATTTAAACATAGGTATAAAAATGTTCAAAAAATGTCATCTGTTTTTAAATGTCCAGAAAAAAGGCGATTCTCCCTTGAAACTAAGAAGTTTGAATCTCCGCTGAATACTCCTTAAACGGTATAAAAAGTATTTGAAAACAATTAAAGTATCTATGCTTAAGAATTTCAAAAATCGTAATTTAAAAGATTCATATTATTGGAAAATGCGGGGTTGAGCGGGCTTGGTGAATCGCTCTGTACATTTACATTATATACATGCATATTATGTATTGACTTATAGTCACAGCTACAAGCCGATTCACGAGTCAATTTACAATGGCAAAAACAAACAATCAATCTGAGCATGAAATTGAAAAATACGAAAAAAAAAATGTAACGTAGGTTACTGTGTATACCTCTACGCGTGTTCAACATATACATTGTATGTATATAACTATACATATAGCTTTCGTATATTACAATATTAATTATTGTTAAGTCTGTCTTAGATTACATTGAATAATACAAATAACGGTACGCTATTATAACACGATGAATCAAAACACAATGCGCTAATAGTATAATTATTATTATTCTAATGCACTTCGTGTAATAATAATGCCATCGATTTTTCGTGAACTGATATTATTATTTCATTTCAACGATATGGAGAGATAATAAAAGGTCCCCAACCGTGGTCTTTGTACGAGTGTATACGTACGTACTATTTACCTACTATACCGGAGTTTGTCTACCGAAAAGTTAATAATTATATTATTTTCTAAAGTTTAATCCCTTTCTGTACGACGTAGTTAAGG